CTAATCTAATGGAAAATAAAAAAAAAAAGGGAAGGAAAACTTTTAACTTATATAACTTCTGGTTTAAGCAGTCGCCAACTTCTACCCACCATGATTATCATGGCCTGCACCATGTGTATTAGGGATAATAAAAAAATAACTTCTGGTTTCCATCTGTGAGGCCATTCCTAATTGCCTAAGTTGGTGTTATGTAATGGCAGTAAATCAGAGTAAAAATTCTGCAGTTTCCTTGCTATAACAACTTGCTGATATAAGATTTCAGTTTTCTAGAGTTCATTCTTTCTCTTTATTTATATTAAATGGAGACTTCTAAGTTATTTATTGACCCACATCTCTATCAGCACTTTAGTGTTTGTTATTGTTTGATAACACTGGGGCCTAATTTTCCCTGATAACAACACTTTCTGCCATTCACTAAAAACATCCCCAATCTTCTAAAGAATTTACAAGAGGAAACTTAAATTGGAGTTTTATACGGTGGAACCTTCCATCCCCAAAGTCCCCAATTTTAACAGTGGGGTTATAACGATAATCCCAAGTGACATCGTTATTCTAACGAGGTTTGGTTGTCGTCTGATAAATGGCATCTTTCTTGATTGGCTAAATCAATGTAGCAGTTTCTGCCATCCTCTACTTCTTCAGTTTCTCTGCTTCCTTGTCCTGATCTCCAGCAACTTCTTCACTTTTATCTCTTCACTTATAGCTTCTTCACTTAGAGTTCTTCACTTATAGCTTCTTCCCCAGTGACTTCTCTATTTTGAGTTCTTCACTTTATAACTTCCCATCCAGTCCATCAGTCCAATTATTTCTACTTACTCTCTCAAACTTTCTTCTTCAATCTATTTCCTCTCAATATATTCCCCATTCAATTCTTTTATCCTTTTTTTTTCTAAAAAACTTCAGTCTCCATCTTCTTGAGAATTCTCCATTCTTGATCATATCTTCAAGCAATGGTGATGAAAATAACCCACTACCTCTCATCAGTCTAACCCTGATAACTATCTCCTCAAGTTCAGACCAACTGGATGTCTACAAATAGAAAGTATGTTCCAACTTGCTGACTTTGGTATGTGGCTAATGGGAGGTTACATAAAGAGAGAGAGAGAGAATATTTCTTAATTTTCTGGTCTGGTGTAGAAATGTGACACTACCAGAAGCAATAAATAAACACACTTACATATTTGGACACTCTCTACCACTTCCACCTCTTCTTTAATCTGTCCTGTACCATTTACACACAGCCCTCTAAGTCTGCTAAGAATTCCCTTGTGGGATGAACAAATTGAGGGGGGAAATAAAAACATTGAAGGATTAATTTATTATGTAATTTATTATTGTGCCTGCAACGTCCCACAATCAATGTCCCATATACTAGATGACTGCCCGCTGTACAAATTCAATGGAGGAATCTCCAATCTCCATTCTGTCACCCCGGAAGCCCTGAACTGGCTGAAGGCCTTGCCTCTCAGACTTTAATGACCGATATGTCCTCACTTCTTTTTTCTAGATTTGGTTCGTTTTGTCTCCTCTCTAATTGTAAATACGCTGCTGTATCACCTCATAAGCATAAATAAATAATAAGGCACAATTTGGATTATAGATTATAAACACAAGGTGATAAGACCAAATCCAAATAAATAGTGTGTGATGTTTCGGTAACAGCGTTGTTACCTTGTGTATTAACAAATCAGTAATATTTACATCTACTACAGTTGAGAATATTATTAAAACAGCATCATCATATGGAACAAAGAGATTTTATGCTGTTACAACCACAGTTAAAATATTGGAACTTGAAAACTTTGGAAGTTAGAATGATGATGTTGCTGCATGCAGCAATCAGTTGCTGTAGAGGTCCCATGCGGTAAATAAAAACTCATCTGTAGAAAAACTGGGGTGGTAAACATGGACTTGGCTGAGGAAGGAGTTGTGAGGACAAATCGCAGAGAACAAAATCACCACTAGAAAATGGCACACCCAGACAATTCATGAAATATTCAATTGAATGATGACAGAACATATGGGGCTTTAAATATTGAAAAGGGTATTTTCCAATAGAAGCATGAAACTCTGATAATAACTATCTAAAAAACCAAGTAGTTTGGGGCCAGCAACCTTTCTGGAATTCACATACCTGTGCAAACAAGTAGGTCGTCTATTACATCTCTCTAATGTCAATTAATTGTTTTTTTTAATCTAACATCTATTTATATACATAATCCATTATAACTACTATATTATAATGCTCATATAGTATGATACAGTAGCCAACCTCTCTGTAATGGATAGCATCTAGTTTCAGAGCCAAAGTATCCTTTAGAGAGAAGTGTCCTCTTAACATAGAGCTACTAATTAGTAAAAATGGCAATTGTGGCAATGAAAACTGTCTTTTGTAGTGAGGTGTCCTTTCCTAGAGGTTCTACTGTATATATTTTAATAAAATAAATATATATAAAAATAGGTTTATTATGTAAAAAAGCACCCTTCTCTACCGGGATGCAGTAAAGCATAAAACAGCATTCCATAAAAATGGGTTGGTCTTCAGAATCAAAGGAGATCTGTTATTCCATTTTGTGCGAAATCTAACAAAAAAAAAAACTTGATAACCTAATTTGACATCATAAGTACAGTAAAACCCCGCTAATATAAACCTAGGACATATAAAACCTTATAATGAACCTAAGGTAATCCCTAATTCCATTCCATTGAAAATACCATTTCTAAGACAAATTTGGAGATTTTTTAAATAACGAACTACCCCTATAACGACCCTAATTTTAATTCCCAAATAATAAATTATATTTAATACTAAGCTTATAACAAACTTGAAATTGTAATTAATAGATTTTTAAAACAATAAAATTTTGAGCATGTTTCAGCTCACAGATTGCAATTTCAAAACAATAAATTTAGCGGCATTGTTTGTTTTCATTTATGTTCTATTTCTGTCACATTTTATATCAATTTTTACAAATTACACTTTTTTTCAATTAAAAAAATTCTTTTAATAGGCAAATCAACAAAAAAATTCTTTATTTATTTTATCTGACATATCAGACGTGATATCCCAGCTTGGGATACTTGCACCTGTATAATTCATCTAATTTGAAATAGAAAAAATGCAAATGGCTTCCAAAAAAAAAAAAAGCTGAGAAAGCCTTTCTAAAAAAAAACTATTACTAGAAAAAAAAAAGTCATTATCAAAGCTTAAAGTAAAATAACGCAGGAAAAAAATTCAGAACAGCTTAAAATAAGAAAATGTAACTTTTCTATTAATAAAGATAAAAATAGAAGGCTATTAAAAATTGTTACAAAAAGTAATCAACCTTTGCCACGATCGTACGTGTTAGCATCTCTTTTAAATGTTTTTTCTAATCTAAAGCTAGTTTAACCTGGGCTAAAATAATTCAAATAAATGTGCCCATGATGCACAAAAACTATTTTTTATGGCATGAACTAGGGTGATTTTAAAGCCTGCAATGGTTTGCATGACAGGTTGATAACAAAACAAAATCTAGACTTCAAAAGTACATGTGGAAACTGGAAGAAAAATAATTATTAGCTTTATTTGAAAGGGGCAATGCTTGAAAAGTACTTTCAAGAAACAAGATATTGGAGCCATTTTTTCAAGTAAACTTTGTATTATATAATATGATAAAGATGTTTTAAAATATACAGTAAAACCCCACTAATATGAACCCAGGATATAGCAAACCTTCCCTTATAATGAATCTAAGGTAATTCCCAAATGTATATAAAACATGCGGCAAAAATAGAACGTAAATGTGAACAAACAATTCCCCAAAATTTATTGTTTTGAAACAGCGATCTGTGAGCTGAAACATTCTCAAAATTTTGTTGTTTTATAAAAATATTTGTAATTATAATTTTAAGTTCGTTACAAGCCTAGTATTTTGAATAGATTTTATTATTTTGGGACTTAAAATTAGGTTCGTTATAGGGGGTAGTTTGTTATTTTAAAAATCGCAAAGTTCCCCCCGTTATAATTATGGTATTTTCAATGGAATGAAATTGGGAATTACCTTAGGTTCGTTATAAGGGAAGGTTCGCTATATCCAAGGTTCACATTAGCAGGGTTTTACTGTATTTGAAATAATGAATAATTACATATACCCTGACCACTCAAATAAGTATTTTAGATGGTAGAGTGCCATCCATCAAAACAAATATCAAGTAATTGTTTACTCCATAATATACTGGACATTTTCTCGGATAAATCGAGGAAGGCAATAATGTATGTATTTTCGGCCATTGGCCCTTGTCAGAGTGATGTATCTCAACAACCAAAGAAAAAGGCTTGTCCTAGAGATGTCCTGAAAAAAAAAATCAATAAATGGGTAGTTAATGCAAAGATTGTGCGAGTGTCTTAAAATGTGCAAAAAAAAAAAGCAAGAAGAAGAAGAAAAAAAAGGTAATAAAAAAACAAAAGAATGTCAGGTATGATGTGATAAGGAACAATTTGGATTATAGATTAGAAACATAAAAAGTTGCAAGACCAAATCTAAATTAATGAAATATTTGTGAGGTTTTGGAAACAGGTTTCCTTCAGTACTCAGTCTGATGATGGTAACTGCGCTGTTACCAAAGCATCACAAACATTTCATTAACTTTAATTTGGTCTTGTTTCCTTATGTTTCTAAGAAGGTTGGGTAGTAAAAGGAATATTTATGTATATCTTGACAATGAGGATTTTTGATGGCATTTCACAATTGACAAATTCAGTATCAGAGATCACATAATGATAATCTTCTAAATGAAGTCATCAAAAGGAAACAAATTTGGCAGAACTCCGGGGATCAGCTAGAAATGGTCTATTTACACCAAATTGGAAGGATACACCTTGGAAGGGAGACCAAGATTGTAAATGTGACCACTCAAATCTCTCTCTATAAATAGGAATCAAAACATCTTCCAACTCCACCTTTGCCGGTCCCAAGCCCAGATGGAAAAGGAGGAGGGGGAGCAGTAACAAGCTCGTTAAAAAATCTGGGCTCAGCTGGCCCAGCTGATAGTACCCTGTAAGGGCTTCTAATCCAGGGATACAGGATGAGCAGCGTTTGTACTCCATGTAAGGAGCGGCTGCACATGGTGTCTGTTCCTCATGTCAGAGGCGGCCATTTCTTTTGGAGCTAAGTCGGCCTGCCACTGAGTAGTACTCCCAGTCTTAATGACAAAGGCAGATGCATTCTACTTCACCCAGTCATGATCTCAAGCTTTACAAGCTTGATACCCTAATATGATTGAGTGGAGATATGAAAGAAGAAGAAGAAGAAAACATCTTTCAACAGATTATAAGAGAATTGTTTCCATAATCTAACAGAGTGGGCTGGAATATTGGAAATTTCCCCAGGAGATGAAAAGAATTGCACAGAGCGGAGTGAAATGGCTTTCCGTGGAGACAGCTCTGTATTGGACGGGGCTACAGAATGATGATACAATGTGTTTCTACACTACTGTATCTACACTGTAGTATTTCTAGAGAAATCTCTACTTTTAACAGTTTTACCTACTCAATTTAAACATCCTGGGAGGGTATTAAAAACCAGCGATGTGTGGTATTTACAATTAGGAGATTTCATTATAGTCAAGTCTCCTTAATTTGAAAAGTCAACTGTGATTAATTGGGACTGGCAGGGAGAAGTCAGAAAGTAATCAGCAGTTCCAATTAACAAATGTTTACTTCAAAGCACCAAACTCTCACAAACTCTTAGAAGACAAAGTATACTATTAATAATAAACTTCTGTTAATTGGGGGGAGGAAAATTGCTAATTGGATCCTTTTTATGTTGTTTTCCAAGAATACCTCAAATAAATACCTCATTTGAATGTGGATTATATACAATAAGACTTAACTGAGGTGAACCCTAAGGAAACTAAACTTTTGGTTCACTCTAAGTAATGTTTCACTATATGTTATTGCTAATTTATTGGGGATTGTTTTAGGTTCTTTATAAGGAAAGTTTTGCTATATCCCCAGTTAGTTTTAGCAAGGTTTTACTGTATATAAATGTGATAAGGCACAATTTGGATTATAGATTATAAACATAAAGTAATAATACCAAATCCAAATAAATAGTGTGTGATGTTTCAGTAAGAGCATTGTTAGCATTCAGCCACCACATTCAGTACTTTGGAGGAGACAAGGGAATAAAAATGCAATATAACATCGGTATGGTAGATTAAACTGGCAAAACCGCTGGGAGGGGTCACTACTGATGAGTCAAGACCTCCCATTAATTTTTCTTTGCAGTAAGGGCAGTAGAAAATTATTTTATTTTTAAAAGAATCATATGCATCTATAATAGTTTAGAATACTCATATCTGAAATTACCTCCAGCCTTCCTTTGAATCTTATTCTAGGCTCCAAACAATCTACTATTTGGTGGTATACACAATATCAAAGACCAAGATCACAAGGACTAATGTTAGAGATTAGAGCCACTTTCTTGATCATGTAACTAATAGTTGCTGATGGTTCACAGCTATCTATTGGAAAACATATCTACTATCTATAATATGATGCACCAGCGCGCCATCTGTTATCAAAATTCAAAACTATTTTAAACGTGCATGATTCTTTTTGAAATTGAACAATTTCTACTGCCCTTACTGCTATGGAAAAATTAAAAGGGAAGAAGGCCTGTTGTTTCTTTTTATTATCCAAAGTTTGTCCCTATACTCCTTTCTTGAAAATTATATTTGAAAAACCCATCAAGTTTGTATTTTAGGCTGTTAGTCCTGATCAGTGTGGTGCAGGTTGTACGTTGAAGGTCCCCCAAAGGGAGCTTCATCTCATTGTTTCATGAAAAGGGTATTTAACGGCAAAAATGTTTGAGCCTGCCATAATATGCTTTAAAAAATCATCGGCACAAAACCATCATCAGGATTCAGTTGTTTCCCATCAGGAGGTGATCTTCTCCATTATCTCATTTTTTCTTCTCTACCAATGTTAGAATAATTTTTTTTTTAACCTCGCATTATAGCAGTCTCTTTTATAACAGCTATTTAAAAACACAGATTAACAAGAATCAATATCCAAATTAATAAAATTGAGTGAGTGACGTTTCAGTAACAGCATTGTTACCATCAACAGACAAAAGTACTGAATGAGATCAAAAAATATAAATATGTATATCACAGCATGCTGTTATAAATATTTGGTACTGTGCTATCAGTTGCTCAAACAAGAATAGATATAAACCAAATATTGTACCTTATCAAGAAGATATATAACTGATAAGAATAAACAAATTATTTTCTATGAGAACCCTATAATACTATTTTAAAAACATGTGAAAAAGAATAACAGTTACCAACTATGATTAGGAACAATTTGGATTATAAACACAAGGTAATAAGACCAAATCCAAATAAATAAATAATGTATGACGTTTCGGTAACAACGCTGTTACCGAAACATCACACACTATTTATTTATTTGGATTTGGTCTTATTACCTTGAGTTACCAACGATGATAAGACACAATTTATATTATAGATTAAAAGCAAAAGGCAATAAGACCAAATCCAAATAAATAAAATGTTGTTACCCAAATGTCACACACTATTTATTTGGATTTGGTCTTATTACCTTGAGTTACCAACTATTTAAGAACACGCTGGGGTATTTTTTTCCCCTCATTCAGTACCTTTGTCTGATGATGGTAACAACTCTGTTGCCAAAATGTCACAGACAATTTATTAATTTCGATTTGGTCTGGTTACCTCATGCATCTAATCTATAATCCAAATTGTACCTTATTCAACAACAACTTGGTTATAACATCAAGTTATATTCCCAAGTTTGTCCCTATACTCCTTTTTTGAAAATTATATTTGAAAAACCAATCAAGTTCGCCCATAGTGTAGTTTTATCTTGCCTGTTGAAGGGCTTTTGCCCGAAAGCTTGCGTCGTCGAAATAATTAAAGAAACTTGTCTTCTTTCATTTTGTTAATCGCTACATAACATCAAGTATTGAGTCCCAATTGTTTTAACTATAGCACAACAACAGTTTGTATTTTCTCCATTTGACATTGTTAAGCCAGTAGATGAGAATCGTAACTCGAAAGCTCGCTTATTTCACATTAAAAATATATGTATTGTTAATTTTTTATTGATTTTGAATAACTTATCTTTTATCTTGTTTACACACTTGATAACAGTTCTATTTAAGAACATGCTGTGATATTTTTTCTCATATTGGGGCTCAAAAATCATCTACTTTGTGGTTAGCAGCTCTGTAAATAAAGATATTGTCATTTGTTTTCTCATTCAGTCTTTGTACCCTGGCAGAAACATCTTTTTTTTTTTAGGCTTGAAAATCATAAACATTGGTTAGTAGCCCTTAAAACCATTTTCTCTCTTATTTTTCTCATTTATTCTTTTGTCTGATGATGGTAACAATGCTGTTACCGATACATCACACTATTAATTTATTTGGATTAGGTCTTAATTTCTTGTAGCTATAATCCAAATTATACTTTATCAATTTTACCCAATGAAAACAACAACATGGTGCAATAACAACATAAAATAATGGTCCCAAGTGATGATAAGGCACAATTTGGATTAGGGATTATAAACACAAGGTAATAAGACCAAACCAAATAAATAAATAGTGTGTGACATTTCAGTCAAGATGGTAACAACACTGTTATCAAAATGTCACACACTATTTATTTATTTGGATTTGGTCTTATTACCTTGGGTCCCAAGTGATGTTGTTATAGAGAGGTTCCATTACATCAAATGAAACTTGAATAAATTACAGGAAAGTATAAGGAAATTTGATGTCTCTAGAAACAACATTGAATTATAGAGAAACAATTGAAAAATAATTTCAACCTAAAAATTATACTCTGTATATATTAGATGGTGAGAAAAAGATATACTCAAGATACAATTTAATACAATTTAAAGAAGCCTATTTCATTAAGAAGAAATGTGTGGCAAACAATTAACAGAATAGAAGAAACACAAAGTAATAAGACCAAACCCAAATAAATAAATAATGTATGACTTCAGTAACATGAAACCTCACAATGTATTTATTTAGATTTGGTCTTATTACCTTGTGTTTCTAATCTATAATCCAAATTGTACCTTATCAGAATGAAAAAATAAAAAAAGGAAATATTAATGACATTTCCAGATATGCATTAAATTGCATATCTATTTCTTTCTATTCTACTATTTACAAATAATCATTTATTTGTACTTCTAATCAGTAGTCTTATCATTTTTTGTAAGTTTTGTTTACCCAACTGATAACAGTATCAATTATTTAAGAGCATGCTGTGATTACATAAAATCTCCCACGTGGTCTAGTGGCTAGGATACCTGGTTCTCACCCAGGAGGCCTGGGTTTGATTCCCGGTGTGGGAACTTTTTCCACTTTGGTTAGTAGCCCGTAAAACCATATTCTCTCTCTACATAAAGAGAGATTGTCTCATTCAGTAAATCTTGTATTTTAATTCAAAATTTTTTTTTTTTTTTTGCTTATCCCTAGTACACGTGGTACAGGTCATGATAATCATGGTGGGTATGGGTAGGCGACTGCTTTTACTGTAAGTGCACCACATGTTTACACATGTGAAAAGCAGTTCGACTTTGTACTTACAAATATAAAATGAAAGGATTTAAAAGCACGGATGTTTCTTTTATACATAATACAAACTTCTACAAACTTTGGTTACTTGCGCTCGCTGGTGGGGCTGGATTTTTGCAAGAATCGGGGGCCATTTAGGCATTTTTTTTTTATCAGAAAAAAAAGTGCCCAATGCGAAAATTGAACTTGGGTCGTAGTGGTCAAAAAGCAACAGTTTACACCATCCTTCCACCGACCCCCTATCAGTCTATTTACTTTAGCCAACACCAAACTTTAATTCAACCAAAAATTCTGATTCCCCTTGGGTTGTTACATTAAAGAAGTTAGAAGAATAGAGTAAAACCCCTCTATAGTGAACCCCAATGGGACAGAGCTTTTGGTTCACTATAGCCACGGTTTGGCTATTTTTTTTTACTTTTCAAAAATTTTAGACCGTATAATTAAAAAACAGCCATACACACAAGAAGAGGCTGCCTCTTAATAGTGGTCACTTTATTTTAATTCCCTTAATTGACTAATTTCCTTATATTAATACTGAATAATAATAGAAATCATTAGATAATAGGTTCTTCTTATGATTAACATACATGTACCTCTATGTCTAAGTTAAAAATCAAGACAAATCCTAGGCAAAGTTTTATTAAATATATATTCAAAGATATGAAATGATTTTAAAACATCATTATCACATTATATAATACAATTTTTACTTGAAAAAATGGCTCTAATACCTTGTTGTTTCAAAGCATTCTTCCAAGCATTGCACCATTCAAATAAAGTTAGTGTTTTTCTTCCATTTCATGTTTCCCCATATTCTTCTAGGTCTAGATTTCGTTTTTTTTTTTTTTTAACCTGCCATGCAAAACATTGCTGACTTTAAAATCACCATAGTTAATGGCATAAAAATATTTTTTGTTTCATCACGGGACCGTTTATTTGGACTTTTTTTTTTAACCCAAAACGTACGATCGCGATCGCGGCAAAAGTTGAGGTTGATTCCTCTTTGTAACAATTTTTAATAACTTTATATTTTATCTTTTATAATAGAAAAGTTATATTCTCTTATTTTAATATGTTCTTAACATTTTGCCTGTTTTGTTTCACTTTGAAAAGTTCTGAAAATGGACTTTATTTTTTAAAAAGAAATAACGTTTTTGTTTTTAGAATGCCTTTGTTTTCTTTGTTTTGGAAGCCATTTGCATTTTTTATATTTCAAATTTAATGGAGGCAAAGATATTCTATTTAATAAAAAGTATAATGTGTAAAAATTTATACAACATACAGCAAAAATAAAGTGCAAAAATCAAACAAACAATGCCGCTAAATTTATTGTTTTGAAATCACGATCCGCGAGCTGAAACATGATAAAAATTTTGTTTTTAATTTTTTTTTTTTAATTACAATTCTAAGTTCGTTATAAGCATAGTATTTTTAATAGATTTTATCATTTTGGGACCCGAAATAGGTTCGTTATAGGGGTAGTTCGTTATTCTAAAAATCGCAAAGTTCGTTATAACGATGGTATTTTCAATGGAATGGAATTGGGAATCGGCGTGGGTTCGTTATAAGGGAAGGTTCGTTATATCCAGGGTTCGTATTAGCGGGGTTTTACTGTATATAATTTTTCATCAAAATCTTGCAATCCCTAAATTCTGAGAGATCCCCACAACTTGTATGAAGTTATATGAAAGAAAGTACAAGGTGGGATCAGGTAGATAAATTATAAAGAGAAAGGTATCTTCTGATCATGCATCAAATAACAAGTTATTGTAATGGCCTTGTATGAAATTAGTCTGAGATCCCATCAGACCAATATTACGGGACTTGTAAGCTACAACAAATAAGATGGCTGACCATTAAAATCTGATAATGAATTGCAACAGGTTTCAATTCAAAATGTTGACGTAAATCTGTTCATATATCTTCTCTTTCTTATCTCCACTCAACAATCATATAAGGGTATCAATGAGCCTGTAGAGCTTGTTGATGGTGTCTGTGCTGGGGATAAGTAGAGCTCCTCAATGGATGAGTCAATACAGTCAATGATGATAAGGTACAATTTGGATTATAGATTATAAACACAAGGTAATAAGACCAAATCCAAATAAATAAATAGTATGTGATGTTTTGCTAACAGCATTGTTGTCAAAACATCACACTATTTATTTATTTGGATTTGGTCTTATTACCTTGAGTCAATGAGGAAAATTGCACTTAGTACATATTGGAAAAATATCATAAATATTAGGGTATAAACACAAGGTAATAAAACCAAATCCAAATAAATAAATAGTGTGATGTTTGTCAACAACGCTGTTACCAAAACATCATACACTATTTATTTATTTGGATTTGGTCTTATTACCTTGTGTTTATAATCTACAATCCAAATTGTGCCTTATCATAAGGTATAAATATATTTTTTTATCAATGTTTTTATACTCTAACCTAAGCTAACCCCCCCCCCCCCCCCATGTCATGGGGACCACTTGAAAACATGGGGTTAGATTTACCAACCTGCCATGTGTATGATAAACTACAAATGTCTCAAACATAATTGGCTGCCACTGATGGATGACAATATGAAACATCAATAAAAACATTGAAACACACCACATATATTGTATAACTCCATGTTAGGAGCAGCTGCACATGGCGTCTGTTCCTCATGTCAGAGGCGGCCATTTCTTTTGGAGCTAAGTCGGCCTGCCACTGAGTAGTGCTCCCAGTCTTAATGACAAAGGCAGACGCATTCTACTTCACCCAGTGTGGAGATAAGAAAGAAGAAGAAGACATATCGTAAACAATGTGCTGAGGACCTTTGGGAAAGGCCGCTGCTTATCATAAAACAGCTCGAGGAGCATGAACTTATGGAATTCGTATAATCTTTACACAAGAGGATAATAAACAGCAACAACACAATATGCTGAGGGTTATAAAAAGATTAACAATTCCTTTTATTTATATTTAATAAAACTTATAAAGATGAAAAAAATATAGACTTATTTTTTTATAAAAGTTAAATATTAATAAGAATTGATAATATATTCGGCTGTTAATTATTGCTCGGTTTCATATATATTTAAACAATTTATAAACACTATATAATTAAACATGAAGTAGATGGAGATGTAATTTACTAATTTATATTTGAAACCAAATGTGTTTTATTGTGATCAAATATTGTAATAATATAATTTAAAAAGCAATAAATATAATAAAATTGCTTTAAAATATATGACATTTTAGAATATATTCATTTAAATAAGGTATAAATGCAAACTGTCAAATTTCATATCACCTGTGTTTTAAAAAATGAAAATATGTTTGAGAACAATTAAATGTGTTTTATTTTATTTTAAAATGTATAAACATTTATTATTGATACTGTCAATGGAATGTTAATATTATTTTCTTAATTTATGAATTAAAACTATCAGTTGACATTTTATTTTAATGACAGCTAGTAACAACTAATCAATTCAACTGTAGACACCAATTTATCAAATTAAAAGTCCTAATAAAGAGTTATTAAATTAAATTCATGTATTTTAATCGCTTTTCAAATCCAAACGACGAGAAGTCGTCTGTTGACATACATGTCATTTATGGATTTTTCATCATGGTTGCGTCGAAGAGCATCGTTTAATCGATATTTCACTCCAATTGTGTTTTATCTACATGTGTGCCTTCTTAAATTGCATCTAGATATAGTCGTGCCATGATTTCTCTTTAAATGTCAAAAGAAAAATCTGCATAAAGCTACTGCTTTATGAGAGTACACATTAAGCAGAGTTCAATGGAATTATTCACTATATGTTACAAAATGCATTAAATATATATGATAATATGCATAAATACCTGGTATTTATAGAAAAAAAATACAAAAATCCAATCTATTTTTTAAAAAGAGAGCTTGGTGCATCGCAAAGTTTTCTTTATACAATAAACTTTCGAACAAAACATGGTCAAATTTTAATATTATTTTTCGTAGATTAAACCATATAAAACTTTTATTTTATGGATAAATTACCTTTCTTGAAGATAGGTGTTGCAAATTTTCAGAGTATTGAAGATGTCTGTATATTGTTCATATGCCATTCGATGTTTTCGCAATTTAATTCATCATTTTAATCGATTTTTCTGAATATTTTATAAAACTTGGAAATTATTCCTAAAATATGGGTAAAAACTGTAAAATTATCAAAAATTGCTCTTTACGTAATAGTTATGCTCGAATATTTAGTTTTAAATAAGTATTGAAATAAATTTAGACATTTTTATAGTGCAAAATATTTTTTGTCCTTTATTATTTCACCATATTTTATTTATATACATTTTATTGGATAATAGTTGTGGTTTCAAGATTAATTATATCTATTCTTGGTATTTATTTTGTATCCAACAAACAAATTATGCCTTTATTGTTACTAACAAAATTTAGAGCTATCGTTTTGAAATTGAAAAGGAGAGAGAAAATGTGTTCCAGTAATGTGAAATAGATGTAAGCTAATACTCCATCTCTTAAATAAAAATAGGGTTCTGGTAGGGTTCTGAATTTTCCAAAGCGGTGTTGTTTCCTTGCCACAGATCCAAATTTGCTAGTTTGCAGAGACTGTGGAAGTTTGTGGAAGTGCTGACTTTGTGGAAATTGCTGTGGAATAAGCTAAGATCAAAGTAAATAACGCATCAGGCTATGTTAATATACTAAATCAAACAATTAGGATTTTATCAGAACAATGCTTCCTATTTTTGATATCAATAACATATTTTAGAAACTGATTCAATTCCCGTTTAGTGGTCCCAGACAGTGATCCACCCAATTTTCATAAGGGATGACCCAAATAATTCCTCTAATTATAGAAAAATTGCGTTAATAAGTAATATCTCGAAATTCTTCAGGGCTATACAAAATGAGATTAAATAAATTGCTCCAAAACAGTGACTATTGCTGAAAATCAGACTGGGCTCAGAAAGGAATACTTTTTCTTTGAACATATTTCCACTCTTAATTCTTTTATATTCAAAATTGGCAATAAATTGAAAAAAAAAGAGGAAAGAAATTAGATGGAGAGAATGGCCTGATTCAATGTATCAAGATACAAATAGGAGAGTGTTCCACTATTCCACACCATACCTATTTATCCTTTTTCTAAAAATGAATTGGTCTCGATTTTGATGATTCTGACTCACCAGAAATTTATTTTCAAACGTTTGAGCTGTACATATCCTTTACTCTGTAGATGGCATTGTTACTTCTGGAAGAATCAAAGACAAATATGCAGAAAAAAATTGAATTGCTCCAGAACCAAACACACATGAACCCAAACAAATATAAACTAATGGTATTCCAAAATGGAGGTCATCGAGCTCGATCTGGCAAATGGTTTTTAGTAGACACCCTCTGACAGTCTCAACCAAGTATACATATTTGGGCCAGCCTCTCTCACACTCACCTCATTTGACTCAGATAGTCATTCTGCTTAATTAAAAAAGGTTGCTATAAATCAGGCTTGGCAATTAATGACTTGTTAGAAAATGAACAATTAAATACGCCCTTGAAAATGATGCACTTGATAGTTAGTATTGTTTACATCGCTCTATGAAGAACCAATCTGGGCCTAAAACCAACTGAAGTCAGCGATCACAAACTTCTTTGAACTCTTTAACCTACTGAAGTTGACACCAGATTTGTTATTGAGAACAAAATGTGGTCAATTAACTTTTTTTTTTAAATATTGGCTCCTAATTTTTAAAATAAAAAATTCTAGATGCCTATATTTGTTTGTCTCACCTTTGAATATCCTTATTAAGAACAAAGCATGATTGGGCTTTATTACTGAGATTTCATATTGTAGAAAGTTTTTATTTCAAAAGAATTAGGAGGGTTATATTCTTCTCTTACACAAATTCCTAACATAAAATAGGTAATAATAATAATCTATTCCGAAAGAGATCAAGTAAAATTAATGAAATATTTTCAGTATTCATATAATATAGCATTTATGACTGAAGACTTCTTGTGCTCTCTAATATTCCATTTAAAATGAAAAAATTCTTTCACACAACAAAATATGTTATTATTATTTTTTTTTTCATCAAAATCTGTTCAGAAAGAAAGACTTGCTTAAAATGTAAGCAGATTCAGAGATAAAATTGAAGATGGATTATCCTATAGCATTCTTCATTGTTCACAACTTCAAGGGGAAAGACAAATTTTTGTAGTAGCCAATCTATCAAATGTTTATATATTTTTTCACATAACTATCAATGTACTCATGTGAGCGGTCAGGAAATATCAATTTTGTTTTTAATAGCTATCAATATTCAATGCTTTATAAGCTTGTTTATGTTTCATTGGCTGATGAATGATTCCTACAAGTACTATCAGCAATTCATCAGAAAAATTATAATCTTTAGCTAATGAAAATGAAGATAACTAGAAGACACACAATAGCTCCAACAAGACTGTATATAGCTGTTTACCCATTTATTTAGGCTTTCTTTTTTTTTTCTCCTTTTTTAGACTCTGGAAATATTATAAGCAAGGCGTAACATCTTAAAAGGCTTTTCTTGTTGTTAATATATGTTGATTATATTTTCAAGAATTTTCTTCGCCTAAAAACAGTACTGAACATTTAAATATTAATGGCTTCTACCTTTATAAGCATTTTTCCATATATATTTATAATCCTATAAGGAAATTCCCCTGATTTACAAAGCCTTGTACAAAGCCTGATAAATAAAAAATCTTATTGCAATTAGACATATCAAGATTGTGATTTAGAAATTCCTTAAAATTATTTTGCGCAATATATTGAATCCTTTTTGATCCTAGGTGCACTGAATGCCCTCATCTACTCCAATATGCACATTAGTCATTGAGGTTCATATTGAAAAAATATTTTCAGTCTGAATATTTAATTACAATTTTTCTTATCAATGGGTCCAAAACTCTTTTTTTGCCACATTTCTTACTTTCCATTATAACAATTCTCTACGTTAAGCCATTTGACATTTATGGCTTGAATATCAACTCATAATGATACATTTCACTGTTTATATCGATAAATTATTGAAAAGAAATAGTGAAAAAAATATCTTCCCCTCAGAGAGCAAGGGTTACAAAATAAATAAAAAAGAATACTTAAAATGCAGAATATATACAAGTATACTCTTGTATTATATATATATAAATAAGTTATAAATATAAATTATAGTTTTAATCTAAAAAAGCTAGAGATCACTTGAATATTGAACGCCCATTTTAACCTCCAAAAATGGCTGCTAAGCCTACTATTGCCTTCTCAGAAGTATTTAGAGTTCAATAGGAGGACGATACTGCCCAAAACCTTTCTATACCCATATACACTTATACCTGTCTCAAAACTCGCAATTGAATAATACTCTAAATAAAATAATTAAAAAAAAATGAATATGTTTGTTGTTTTCATGTCCAATGAAGAGCCTCAGATGTCTCCTTACATGTGGGTGTGTAAAACTGCTGTTCTTGGGTCCATGTGATAATTTAATTAATTAATTAATTATATACACCTATCCCCCGATTTACACGGTAGATACGTTCCTGAGAAAAACGTGTAAATCGGGGGATAGGTGTACACAGAAATAAAAATAAAAGGCATTGACAGGTTAAAATATGTAGTCAGCACATAAGCTCGGGATTCCTCGTGAGATGTGTACACAGCGCATGTGTTCAATCACAGTAGCATTTAGTATAGTGCGATAAAAAAAACTTATTTGGAAAACCGTGTAAAAGCGAAAACGTGTAAAACAAGTACCGTGTAAATCGGGGGATAGGTGTAATATGTTTTAGTTTATAATAAATTTATTTATGTATAGAAATAAACAGTATTATTAGGGCCTGGCTCATCAATGGTGAACCCTTCCAGAAGTTTTGCTAGTCTAAACGACCAGATCGCTCTAACTTAGATTAAAGTTGACATGTTCTCAACATCATATTTTTTTTCTCAACAACAACAAAAAATAGTATATGTATATGTAATAAATGTAAATATTTTTTTAAAAAGGCATGTTCTGACCCCTCACATGAGCATTTTGTTTTTCTTTCACACATATAATGTATAATAAAGAAATTTATAATTATAATTTGTTGAGGGGTTTTTTACCCTAATTTACATACTCTCTTTCAAAAGGTGAACCCCACCAGTGAGTCGTGATGTCGTTGCTGAGCCACTGCCCTAAATAAATTGCTTTGTTTCTCATCACATCTTTGCTATTTTTTTATTTACGATTATATTATATTTTATACAATTGTAAAATATTTTTTCATATCTTTTATATTTGAGAAATGTAAGATTTCAAGCGAAAACTCCTTCTTCTACAGTCTACTCATATTTTTGTTTTTATTTTAACCCTACAGGTTGATAAAAGGCAAGACCGAAATCTCCCAATAAAATACATGTATAAAAAATTGCGGTATTTATGTATTAAAAATAAAAAGGCATTTCCTGACCGTTCACATGAGTATTTTAGATGGCTGAGCGCCATCTAGTGAAACAAAAATCAACTAAAATTAGGTTTAAACTAGTTCTATAATATTTGGCCAAACCATTTTTTTATATCAGGGAAATCCAACCACGGACGCGTTTCGGGCTGTTGGCTCACGTTAGTGCTGCGTAGGTTATACCTCAACGACCAAAAATTTGAACCAAGAGGCTTTTTGAGAAATCAAAAAATGGGTATTTAAGGCCAAATTTGCGTAATTACGCTGAACATGTGAAAAATAAGAAATACGAAAAAAAATATTAAAAAGGTCAGGTGTTGATATTGAAAATTAAAAAGCATATACTGACCATATTTCCTTTCTTAGGAAACCTCTTGGAAAAAATTGTCGTTGAGTACAGCCTGCACCACGCTGACGAGGGGTGACAGCCCGAAATGCGTACGTTGGCTTTTCT